TTTTCTTTCCCTTCTTCCTATGGTGCAAACATATTTCTTCTTCCTCTTTCTTTCCCTTTCCTCTTCCTCTTTTTCCTTCCTCTTCCTCATCCTCAAAGATTGCAACCTTAGAGTTGTTTCTTAATTTTTGCAGTGAAAAATTGACGACCCAAATCAGAAAACAGGTGGAGAGAGAGAGAAACATATCTCTACGAGAGTAGATGTAGGCAAGAATGGCGCCCCAACCGCCGCCATCATAGTACATCTGAAAATGGAGGATCTGAACAGAACAAACACAGGCCTTGCCGGTCCGACCATCTCTCTCTCTAAAATCAGGGGAATGTACGAGGAGGAGGAAGAAGACGAGGAATTGATCGGATGAGTTGAGAGGAAGGGAATCTGCACCATAGGAATAGGAAGGGAGAGAAAGGAGGGGGGGGGTGGTGGAGGAAGAAATATTTCGGACTGCATGATTTGAATCAAACAGCTAAGATAACTTGGTCTGCAGGAACCGGAGAGGATCTGAACCCATAAATGTTTAATTGCAACATTTTGATAGTTGAATGATGCCAAATGGGTGTGCTTTCTGCTTCCTTGTCTGTCAAAATTATTCTTGCAGATTATTCCCTAGTGTTGAAGCTGTGATTTGTGTTGCTTTTATTAGTTAAAATGAGATTCATTTCGGTTAATTCTTTAAAACTAAACTTTTCAGGTGCGATGTTGACTGCTGGTGTGCTCACCGCCGGCTTAATCAGTTTCAGGCAAGGCAATTCTCAGTTGGGCCAGAAGCTAATGAGAGCTCGTGTCGTTGTCCAAGGTGCCACTGTGGCTCTTATGGTTGGCAGTACATACTACTACGGGGATAATCCGTGGAAAAAGCCAAGTTAAATTATTCGATGGTATTATTGTTCTTCGTTATTGCAATTACATTGTTGTTTCATCCATGTTGAAGCGAAATTAGGTGTCCATGAGTTGCATAGCTTGCGCTAAATAAATAACATTTTTCGAAGGAAAAGTATGGAGGATCATTGTGTTGTATTTGTAAGCCATGTTCACCTTGAATGTCCATATAACAATCAAATAGTCGACATTCAAGTCTTCAATGTTCTTATGCTCGCGGGTCACTCGAGCAGTTTACGCATCTGGTGCATGTTCGAGTTTTCCAGGGGTATGATATCCACACATCTCATTTTACTTCTCAGACATTTTTTTTAATTTTCGACCGTCGGATCGAATGAATTGAAGAAGATCAACGGATAGAAATTATTAAGGGGTGTGTGAAAAGTAAAATGGGGTGTGTAGATAGTATACCTCTTCCATCAATCGTCCGTTTTCAAGCCTAAGGATCGGATGCTCGATGTAAACTCAAGGATGTGAAAACTTTTGGCAATTGGGTTACAAAGATTAGTCGACAAACTTTTCATTGTAACCTAACACGACGGCGTAATGTTACCGATCTAACACGACTGCGTAATGTTATCGATCTAACACCACCGCGTAATGTTAGCAACTCATTCATGTGCAGTAAAGATCTTTTGTAATATTTTTCAACGAGGAAAAGATTTGGGAATGAAAATATAAATGCAAACCAAATCAAGTAAGGACTTTGTTTACTCATTTCACTAAAATTAGAATCAAGAATTGAATTAATTAAGTTATTATTGGATAAGAATATATATGGACGTCCTAATATTTTTAACAAATCAAAATATTTTAAACAAAAATCAAAATCGTGAATATTTTCATTATACTAATCTAATAAGAACACTAATATATTCCATTTTCAGTTTGTCAGTGTAAATTATATTAGTTTTGATTTTATTGCAATTGTTTTTGCAATTATGTTGAGATACATGTCTTGTATACATTATTGATGAATGAGGATTGTCATATCCCGGACTCGATTCTACCGTAGAACGATATTGTCTGCTTTGGGCCCCGGCTATGCCCTCACGGTTTTGTTTCTAGGAACTCACACGATAACTTCCTAGTGAGTGGTAATTGAAATTGATTTGAAAAGTTTTGTTTCGCTCACTCACATTTTCTATTTTTGCACCCCTCTAGGTTCTAACAGTAGAGTTTCGTATCGACGAGGATTCGTGGCGCCTTTCAGTACATATGTCTTCTTATGACGGTATAATTATTATTTTACCTTACTGTACTATACCTATACTCTGTATCATGCGTGAAATGGGTATAGACCCGCTCATCGCACACTCGTGTACTTAAGCATTTTTAGGTTTTAATTTATTCAAATTTTATACACTATCACACTTTATGGCTTCGTCACCTTCTAGGTGTCGGCCAGCACAGCTCGATTCGGGGTCCTAGTGGACACTCCGGGTCGGGGTGTGTCAAGGATCCTCTTTGTGAAGATCTCGGAGATCCTCTAATCATATTCGTTCATCATACATCGTGCAACCAGTTTTCGTCAGTTACTGTTTATATTTAATTTTAAATAAAAAGATTTACAATCATTTATGGTCATACGATATACGATGAACGAATGTGATTGAAGGATTTCCGGGATTCGAAGAGGATCCTCACAAAGAGGATCCTCATTCATTGTTGATGTACTTTGAAATGTTTTATGATAAATTCTTTTATTTAATTATAATAAAACAAACATATAATAAATACTTTTTAAAGATAAAATGATAGCAGTTTTATTATAATATTAAAAGCTAATACAAACATTAACGAGAGCATTCCGATTAAAATTCAAGAGGTCCTCAATCTAAAGAGACGATAATAATAGTTCACATAGAGAGTTTTGGGATTAAAAGTTAAAATGGTCCGTATATTTATCAATTTTTGTACAATATTTATGTCACATCCTGGCCCAGGTGGGACCACTTCCCGGTCCCGCTCCACTACCGTAACACGATATTATTTGCTTTTGGGCCCCGACCACGTCATCACGGCTTTGTTTTTGGGAACTCACGAGCAACTTCCCAATGGGTCACCTATCATGAGATTGCTTTCGTGCACTACTTGCTTAACTTCGGAGTTCCCATGGAATCCGAAGCCAGTGAGCTCCCAAAATGCCTCGTGCTAGGTAGGGATGAGAATATACATATAAGGATCACTCCCTGGGCAATGTGGGATCTTACGATCCACCTCCTTTAGGGGCCCAACGTCCTCGTCGGCACACACGCGACCAGGGTTAGGCTATGATACCAATTGTCACATCACGACCCAGGCGGGACCACTTCTCGGGCCCGCTCCACCACCGTAGCACGATATTGTCCGCTTTTGGGCCTCGACCACGCCCTCACGGTTTTGTTTTTGGGAACTCACGAGCAATTTCCCAGTGGGTCATCCATCATGGAATTGCTCTCGCGCACTACTCACTTAACTTCGAAGTTCCCATGGAACCCGAAGCCAGTGAGCTCCCAAAAGGCCTCGTGCTAGGTAGGGATGATAATATATATATATATATATATATATATATATATATATATATAAGGATCACTCCCCTGGACGATGTGGGATCTTACAATTTATCATTGAGTAAACTTAAAAAAAAAAGTTTTTAAACACTTTCTTTTTCATATTAACAAAACATCCCCTTTTTCTTCGCTCTTCTGGAACCGTAATAAACTTGCTTAGTGCTTACGCTAAGGAATTCTATCCAATGTTTTCTACTTTTAAGGAAAAACATACAATGAAAATAATATATATGGTTCAATGAACAAGAAAAAAAAAACTATAAAAAATACCATAATTGAGGAGATTTACTTGGTAATTATGAATCGAATTCATGTACCCTAACAATATTAAATTTTAATTTTAATTTAATTTTGAATTAATGTCACAAGATTAGCTTTAATTTTAAAGGAAAACTAATGAAAATGACTTGAAAACTTTGAGTTTTAATGATAAGGAAAAAATAAAGGATAAAATAAATAGTAGCAGAATTGAATTTTTAGTGTGAAAATGTGATTTTTCGTTAAAATAAAGAATATCGTGAACTTTTCGGTAAAACTCTTTAATTTTAATTTGAGACCGTGCGTGCCACGTAATAACGCTATTATTTGAACACGTGCGCCTGAACATGTCGACGTTCACAACCCCCTTCCCCAACTCTCTCTCTCTCTCTCTCCCCCCCTCACCCTCCTCCTCCTCTCCTCCCCCGACCCGTTGTTTCTTCCTTTTCTTCTCCAATTCCAAATTTTCTCAATTTTCTGTTTGGTTCTTGGGAATCTTCAGTCAGACAAGAAAAGGTTTGCCCCCTTAAATAAGTAGCTCTTGTAAGATACCCAGTTCCCATCCTCTCTCTCTCTCTCTCTCTACACACACACACATTTATCTATTGTTAATTTTATTTTTCATCGACATTCTCAAAGAACAAAACTTTTTCTCTTTCTTTGTATATGATTTTCTGGGTAGGTCTTAGATCTTCAAAAGATTGCAGCTTGCTTTTAATTGTTAGACTTCAGAAGCACTTATGACATTGATTCACAAAATCTCAGTATTGGTTTCATGACAACATTCCAATTTTTATTGAATTTTTGATAGGGGGAGTTGAATTACTATAATGCCTCAACTAGGTGTGTCTAATAATTGGTTAAATTTGGAAAGAAGAAAATTTGGAATCCCATTTTGCTCAAAGTTTTTATTTTATGCTGTGGAGATAACAGTTGCATTGCATTTTTTTTTATCAAATTGTGATGACCCAATTATAACTTTTAATCCTGTTGTGCAGTTTAAGATTTCCCATGAGTGTGATATTTCAATTTTTTTTGCTTTTTCAATTGTGTGGCATGTCTGTTGTTGTTATAAATTGTTAAGTATGCTTGCATAAACAGACTTTCAGATGATAAGTATGTTAGCTTTGCAATGTAGTATATCGAATTGCGGGGAGCTGGGCTTTAGGCGTTTTGGTTAGACTTAGGGTGAGTGATGAATGGTAAACATTCGTGTTCGACTTGGGAACTGACTCTCCAGGTTGAACTAGTAATTTTGACAGTAGTTTTCTATGGTTATGGTCCAGCTTTACGGGAGGCAATGTCCATTTTAAGGAGAGGCCGTACTTTGTACATGGTGGCGAGGCATAGTCAATGCATTTAGATTCTGCAATCTGATGTCATTGGCGTATGGTATTAGTATATGTAACAAAAAGCTTTACCTGTCAGATGGAAGATGGTTCGGTGACCCTTAAGTTGCAGTTATGGAAATCTAAGCTATAAATCATTTTTTCTTTTTCTACTTTATTTGTACAGTTGATTGATTCTGTGGAACTAATGAACGGAGAAACTGGGTTAGTTTTAGTTGAGGTGGCTTTCTTTCTGCTGCATCATCCAATGGGTATAAAAGTCTCTAACAAAACGCACTACTATATATATAGGCTGGTATGGCTGATACTGTAACATAGGTCCGTTTCTTTGATGGTCATGGTTTGTGAAGAACGATCCCCCGTTTAAGCAGACTTATAACTTATTTTGTTTGTATCACTAATTTTGCTTATGCAATCTACAGATAAGTGTTTACCTTGATTTTGACATCGATTAAATCTGAGTTTTTGTTACTTCTACTTCTGCTTCACCATTTATTTTTGCGAATCTTGTTGATTTCCGGAAGGTCAATGTACCTTGTTTGTTGTAAATTAGACTGTTTTAGTTTCACCCATATGGTTTTAACATATTTAATTTCTTTGAAATTTGTTTCCATGAAAAGTTGATCACTTTGGTACGTTTGTGACAGGTTTGGGATTTTCATTTTAATAAGCTAAGATGTCTTCTCCAAGCAAGCGGAGAGAGATGGATGTCATGAAGTTGTAAGTTGTTTGTTACTTAATACCTCCAACCTTTGCAGTGTGGGTCTTATGTTTCATAAGATTGGTTTTCTCCTTTTGGTTTACTGAGTGGGATGCAGTCTTTTAGGTAGAAGTATGTATAATCAGGTTGCTAACTTCATCTCTGGCACGAAATAAAGCTTTGGAACACTATTTCTAATGCTTTTGTTTTCCATTCTTTTCTCAATGATATTCAGGATGATGAGTGACTATAATGTGGAGACAATCAACGATGGGCTGAATGAATTCAATGTGGAATTCCATGGTCCGAAAGAAAGTAATGTCCGACACTCCTGCTTATACTTCATTGCATAAATTTTCTATATGTTTATGTGTGGGCATGGTGGCACACTTTAACTGAATTTGGTATAAGAACCTGTGCAATCACTCAACTTGGGAAAGTTTTTCATCTTTGTTTGCCTTGTTGTAACTTTATTACAGTTTGCTCTTAGATCGGAACTTGTAACTTTATTACAGTTTGCTCTTAGATCGGAACTGCATCTTGCTTCCTTTATTTCCACTAGGCTTTTATCAGCTGAGGCTCTTACAGTCTGATGATATGGTTGCAGGCCTTTATGAAGGAGGGTTTTGGAAAATCCGTGTTGAGCTTCCGGATGCTTATCCATATAAATCTCCTTCTATTGGCTTCATGAACAAGATTTTCCACCCTAATGTTGATGAGCTGTGAGTGTTCTTCAGTTTTAAAATCAAATTCACCTCACGAATAATCCAGTTTAGTTACCTGTAGGAACTTTTAAATTCTAACTGCTACTAGTGGCACGCTGGCAGATTGGGTCAAACAAAGGCAGAAGTATTAAGTTTATTTAGAAATTTAGAATGCTGTAATACTGCTGTTGATTATCAAATGCTTTGAATTAGTCTCTGGTTTTGAAAAATATGATTTATCTTTAGTAAGCAGCAGGACCTTTATTTATTGGTTATTAATGTGGTTTGTACTACTGATTTGTTTTTTTTTTTTTTTACGCGATTGCAGATCTGGTTCTGTCTGCTTAGATGTAATTAACCAATCATGGAGTCCAATGTTTGGTAATTATCGTCCTGTTTTAGTAAAAATTCTGACTCTCTTTTTTCATTACACTGCTGAATTGTTGGTTTTGTGTCATTATACTCTCTTCCATGAGTCGGTGATGTTTCGCGGTTCTATTCTGTTTCACTTTTCTTTTTCTTTCTTCATTTGGTTTTTCTTGGATTTCTCACATATATGGTCATGTTTCTTCTTGATGCAGACCTTTTAAATGTTTTTGAAGTTTTCCTTCCACAACTGTTGCTTTATCCAAATCCTTCAGATCCACTCAATGGTGATGCAGCGTCATTGATGATGAAGGACCGAAAACTCTACGATCAGAAGGTCAAAGGTAAAACTTCATCTGCAAGTAATATACCTTTCTTTCAGTAAATATGCTTTAAACCAACAATGCCTAAATTTTTGAAACTTCACCGCAAACTCTCTCACAAATAACTTAGGTAAATTAGGAGATGGACCTTCCAAACATGAGCATATGTGTGCAAGAGCTCTTGCTTGTAATTAGATAGTTCCATACTCTTCCTACTTTTTCTTGGTTCCTTTGACGTGTCTTGAGTTGGAATTCCAATACCGTCCCATAGCTGTGAGTGTGACTTCAGCAAGATGGTCCATGGACCATGGCTACTCGAATTACAAGTCTATCTCCGGCCCCTTATTCAGTGCTTTCGGCTAACACTTACATACAAGATTCCACTTAATTTTCATAGTAAGTTAGTTCCTTCAGCTTCGAAGATGTTATACCGGGAGTATTCTTAGAACGCAGAAGCTATTTTTCCTTGGTTGCTCACAGAGCATAAGCTAGCGAGGAAAATGTTCTTTATTTTCGCGGGATTTTTATCATGTAAAGTATTCTGTTTACATATTCCCACTGTGATTTGTGGACAGAGTACTGTGAGCGATATGCAAAGAAGGAGCACATTACCAATACAACACCAGACGAGGAGAGCGATGATGAGAACATTAGTGATGAGGAAAGCAATTCAAGCGACGATGATATTGCTGGACATGCAGACCCATAGTGAACTGCAGGTGCAGGGGGAAACTTTACCTATGATTAAAAATCTACTTATAGTTATAGCAGCAGCATTGTAATCCCCCATTACACGCTTACGATTTGAATTAAGTTTACTACCAATATTTGTATGACTAGATTCGAAAAGATTGCGTTTTCTTGTAAAAATTATGAATTGTGTGAAATAATCTACTTCTGTCGTTGGTTACTGAACTATTTTAATGTTATGAAAAGAGTCCGAGTCACATAGGATGATGAACATGTAGAAATGATCAAGACACAACTATTTTATGTGTTCTTTCAAATTCTATGAGATGTATATAGAATTGTTTGGGTAGACGGACTTTCATCCTTCAAATTGGTCAATTTTCTTAATCAAGACAATTAATAGCATACCAAGTGTATTGTTCTAAAAATCGGCCTTGGTGCTAGGTGATGAAGGCTCAATGTGATTTAGGCCAAAAAGTGGAGGAAGATGTGGTAAGAGCTAGGTGGACTAGGCGGTTCATGATTTAGGGTTCCATTATTTTTTAATTTAAAAGAACTCTTCTCTCGCCATTTCGTGTTTTCTCTTCTTCCCCCACCACCCCCCCCCCCCCCCCCCCCCCCGGCGCAAAAACACCCCCAAAAAAAAAAAGAACAGGTGGTTGTGATGATGGCTTAAGGTTAATAGACATTTTTTTTTAAGTATAAGTAAGCACCTATTTATATGTTATATAATAAATTGAATTAAATCCACCTAGCCCAACCTGTCGCCCGACTTGCGTCTAGTGTTTTCTATAGACTCGAGCTTCTGTGTTTGGATTTGTACTCGAGATTTTGTGTTCAGATCCAGATTCAACTCGAGGTTCTGTGTTTGGATCCATGCTCAACATTGCGTGTATAAAAAAGAAACGAAAGTCTGCAACTTGACCCGATGATTACTCTACTTGTGTGTTTGTACAACGTGCAACACAATAAGGGAGAGCATGATACCTTTGTGTGCCATTTGCCATGCTCATCCATGGTTGACTTGTCTTCAACTTAACCCAGTCAGTCACAATCTTATACCTATTTTTAAGTAATTATAAAACAACCTTAAAACTAATTGAAAGTTACAGCCTTGGCACTTGGAACTGACCATTGTCTAATTCAGAGATTAAGGAACTAATCCGATTTGAGGGGTCTCTACAAGTCACTATAACAAACAGTACTTGATTAACATGTGGCATTACTAGGACCATTTTATCATCTTCAATTCCAAAAAAGATAACACGCGGCTCCTTACATGTAAAATGTCATTCTACGTTATAGACCAATAACCATTTGATACGTGCATAAGCTTTTCATTGTGGGTTTTTCATAAGAGATGTATACATTTGTTCAAAATGTATTGTGATTCGTAGGTAAGTAGGAATAACCGTGTTCTTTCTAGAAAGGCTGGTTGAAAAAGACATGCCATCAAAAAATTTGACCGTTTAAAACTGCCGGCAAAGATTTCTTTTTAAAATTGTTACAGACTTTAGTGCCATCTGTTATGAGCCCTACATACACCCAGAGAATGCTTCAAACTCTGTCAGTGTTCATCCAATCGGCAGCAAGTGATTCCATCAACCAACTCCAACATTTCCGTTTGTTCCTTTCTTCTTGTTTCTCCAATTCCAATCACCGAATCCCACTTCATAAGGAAGAAACACCAAACCACAGAGCCATTTCCCACACCCAAAAAAATCCAATTTGTACATAGAAAACACGAAAAATGGATCGAATTCCCATTCGGGTGTTTGCCATTTTGATCCTTCTCGTAATCTTTCCAGTGGCATATCCAGAAGATCAAGAGTGGATTCAGATAAAACAAGCGTTGGTGCAGTTCATGGACAAACTCTCACCGGTCAATGCAGCGCCCATGAACGGAAATTGGGGTTGGAACATGAGCTCAGACCCCTGCGGAGATAAGTGGGAAGGTGTGACATGTGATGGAAAGAATTCTGTCAAGAAAATAGTCCTCGAAACCTCAAATTTTGCGGGAATTCTCGATGCAAACTCTCTCTGCACGGTGAAGTCTGTTGGTGTTGTGAGTCTGAAGAACAACAAGATCACTGGACAACTCACAGAAGACATTGGAAACTGCAGAGATTTGACTCACTTGTATATAAGTGGGAACCAGTTTTCGGGTGATCTTCCGGCGTCTCTTTCGCAGTTGAACAATCTGAAAAGGGTTGACATCTCTAACAACAACTTCAACGGTGAGCTTCCTGATTTCTCAAAGATTTCTGGCTTGATAACTTTTCTTGCTCAGAACAATCAGATTGATGGGAAAATCCCTGATTTTGATTTCTTCAACCTCAAGGAATTCAATGTCTCCAACAACAACTTCAGCGGCCCTATCCCCGATGTCAAAGGCCTATTCAAAAATGATAGCTTTTTCGGTAATCCTCAGCTGTGTGGAAAGCCACTGCAAAATGCCTGCCCTCCTGCGCAACAAACTTCCAGAATGCCAAAGAAATCGAGAAAGTCCTGGTTCGAAAAGCTTTTGCTCTTATCAGGATATATAATTCTTGGCCTGGTTGTTGTTTGCTTCTTTCTCTATAAATTTGTCAGCAAAAAGAAGATCAGAGAAGATGAAGAAAGGGGCAGAAATAAAAAGATGGCTGCGAATGATGCTGCTAGCACTGTGCCTAGCACTACAATTTCTTCTAGTGTGAAGGATGGTAGTGGTAAAAACACGGCAGAGTACTCGTTATCATCTGTTGAAAACGGAATGGCTCCACCGCTCGTGGTTCTCACTAGTCCATTGCTGAGGGGGTTGAGTTTTGAGGAGTTGCTCCGAGCTCCTGCTGAATTGCTTGGCAGAGGGAAGAATGGAAGCCTCTACAAAGTCATGCTCGATGGAGGGGTTAACTTAGTTGTGAAGAGGATCAGGAACTGTGGGATTTCGAGCCAAAAATTCAAGACTCGGATGACACAAATCGATCAGGTTAAGTGTCGAAATGTCTTGCCTACTGTTGCATTCTATTGTTCCACACAGGAGAAGCTCTTGGTTTATGAGTATCAGCCTAATGGCAATCTCTTTAACCTTCTTCATGGTAGGTTACGCTTGATTTGATCAATTTTTTTCTATTTATATATATATCTCAAATCACAAACATAACTGGTTATTCGTACTATCCTCTCCACATGTTCTGACGCGCTTGAGAATAGGTTTTTCTTACTGCGAGTATTTTGTTTACGATCAAGTAAAATTTAATCGAATTGCTCATGGGTTTTTGGTAACACAGGATCTTCAAACGGACAAATATTTGACTGGGGAAGCAGACTAAGTGTTGCAGACATCATTGCTGAGTCATTGGCATTCATGCACCAAGAGCTACATGAACATGGCATTGCTCATGGCAACCTAAAGTCCATGAACATTTTGTTCAACATGTCCATGGAGCCCTGCATCAGCGAATACGGCATAATGGAAGTCGAAAATCAAGATGGGTCACTCCTTTCGCCAAACAACCGGATTGAAAGTCCGAATACAGGCCATGCAGATAGCACGTTCAATGCAGATAGTACGTTCAAGGGTGATGTCTATGAATTTGGTGTGATACTTCTCGAGCTTCTGACTGGGAAGCTGGTGCAGCAAAACGGGTTGGATTTACCAGGGTGGGTGCACTCGGTGGTTAAAGAGGAGTGGACTGTCGAAGTTTTCGACAAGGCTTTGATCCAAGAAGGTGCAAGTGAAGAAAGGATGGTGAGCTTGTTGCAGGTAGCATTTCAGTGCATAAATTCAACTCCAAATGATAGGCCAAGTATAAGTCGAGTTTCGGCGATGATTAAGTCGATCAAAGAGGAGGAGGAGAGATCCATATCCTCTGATCCATGAAAAGTAAAACAGTTCAGCAGTTGCAGCTCACTTGTTGGAGCAATTTGATATAAAAAATGTTTGTTTTTGGGTAAACCTATGATGTTATTGTCCTTGTCACTTGTTCATATGAGTTATGTTACATGAAAATTACACTTGGGAAAAGGGAATTTGTGGCAATAAAAAGACCATGTAATAATAATATGTATGCATTCACTATTTTTCGTTTTCCTTATCAACAGGGGATAAAACAGTCGATTTAGATTTTTTTTTCAAAGTTAAGAAGAGAAGTATCACTAGATTAAGATTTAGTTGATCTAGGTCGAATTATTTGGTAGAAAATTTCTCACCAAATTGCTTGGAGACTGATGGAACCGACTCACAACGGATAGTCTTTTTTCACAAACAATCATTTGATTTTGGTCATTCTGTAAAAAATCTCCGTTAAGTTGAGGGTATTTTTGTTAAATCAACCTCTCCACTTGAACTAGTGAATTTTTTTTTTTTTTTAATTTAACAGAGATTTTTTTATAGAATGATCAAAATGATTGACGGTAGACAATCTCAATGACCATTTCTATCGATTTTAAATTTCAGAGCCAAAAGTGAAGAGTTCTAATAATTTCAAATACCATTTTTGCTAAAAAGCCGAACATAATTTGGATCACAAGATAGAGGCACAAGAGAAATTATTTTGAGTATTATGTTGAACACTATATGCATTCGTCTTAAATAACGTGAGGAGAAGTGGACTGACTCCAAAGACCAAAGGGTAAGACAAAATGGACTCATTCAATATCCACAGGGTGTCCAAAATGTCTGAATATGTATCATATAATGTACAATCCTCTAGCTTATATAATTGATTAGATTATATATATAAAAAATATATAAAAAAGAGTGTCGCACCATTAACATAATCTGCAACAAAATTTATTAGCAGAAAAAGTATATTTTACATCTGATTGTATACAATTATGCGTTTATTTTCCTCGTCATATTGTAACGTAGAAATTAGTAAACGGTCACATTCGACCAGGTAAACTCAAGAATCTCTCCTTTGACCGGCTTGCCAGTTGGTTATCAACTAACATCAGACAAAGATTGTCAAACAAATAGAGGTAAGCATTACAAAAACATGATTAGTCATAATCACATGTGTTTAGTGGATACAATCATGGATATGATTAGGTGCTAATACGTGCCAGGAAAAGCAAACGCAACCTCACCATTACACACTCATTTTTACTTTTTATATGTTTTTTGGATTTTCTTCAATATAGTTGAAAATTGAGAGTCGTGTGTGGAAGATAAAAATGAGTGTGTGGATAGCACCACTCTTTCTGTTTTGCCACCATTTCATAGCCAGGAAAAATCTAGAATAATGCTACTTACACACTCGTTTTTACCTCTCACACACTTATTTTAATTTTTATTTTGTCACTATATCTGACGGTCGAAAATTAAAAGGATGTGTGAAAAGTAAAAAAACAAATGTATAAACAGCGTTACCGGAAAAGCTAATATAGTACGATAAAAGATTTGCATTGGTAGTACATGACTTTTTACCTACAAAGAAGAAGACATTACCTACTGTTTTTTACTTACCCATTTCATAGTTACTGCGGTAGATCATTCAGATTTTCAGTCTAGAAGTGGTTGATAGTGTGTTTTCATGCCAGGATTGATGAAAAAGAAGTCACACTGATCACTTTGGTCAATCAAAACTGGGTGGTTGGTGGACCTCCTTCAGCTTTTCAGGTTTATGTGACATATAGGTCCAGATCACCACACATAATGAGGGAGACAAATATAATGCTTTTCTTAGGTTTGTCTGGTATGGTGTCCTACAATTTTAGTTTAGCCAAACATGTGAAATTGATGTACGATAGAGTCATGCAGTGGAGGTTAGAACGGTTTAGCGAAAACGAAAACGCATAAAATTTAGAATGAATTGAAAATTAAAGATAACTGAAATCACTTCATAAGATTTGCATCTGCTCTTTGCTTCACATCAGTAATTGAAATTTGAAATCACTCCAGATAAACTCCGACCACAGAAAATAACTCAAACTTTTTATTCACAAACTCATATGTCCTCGTCAAAGGGGATCCCTTCAACAATTTTGAAGAAAAAACTCAACCATCACATGCCACCTGACGAGAGATTTTTTTTTTCCCTTCATTTCATGCAAGTATTGCGTTATGCAAAACTGCTAAGCTACTAGGAGAAAATCTTGGGCGGGCAACCCAACCTCGTCTTTGTGCGATCTCACAAGAAAGGGATTGTGGCATGAATGGCGTGGTCAGGCTTCTCCATCTAAGAATTTCTCGGCTGCTAGCCCTATCGTTGTAGGCCTGTAGAATTTCAATTTTTCTTGAGTACTTACAGATACTCATTGCCAACACATATTTTGCCAATAAAACTAATCTAATAACTTAAATTGAGATTTCTTTTTAGTGTACATTAGGCACCAACACATATTTGACGATCAGCTTTGATCCAACCACCTAAACTTAAACCAAATCCAAGAGTTAAATATTGTATAAACTCAAGAAAAAATTGTAAGTTTGAAGGGTCCTTTTGTATCACAATGGGCTCAAGAGCCTATGGCTTTTTCAATGTCGACAGCACACTTCACGCGTCACACTTCACAATCACACCAGTCTATATCAAACACAGCAGTACTAGAAAACCTTTCTTTCTCACACTTGTGTTGTGTGGCGCAAAAGGAATTCAAATCAGACGGTGCAGACCCCATCATCACCAACCCCCATAAACCCTCAGTTTCGTACCCTCCACATCCAAAGGTATGTCCTTTCCAATTCCACCAGCTTACTAATTCTTCAAGACCCAATTTTTATTCTCTCAATCTTCCACAAAACAACGCTTCACACAATATGAAATATTAATTTGATTAGGTTTCTGGTCAGCATTGCTTTCTTAATTTCTTCTATATATTCTGCATTTTCCTGAATATTTTAGTGTCTAATCTGAGAATCCCTCCAAAAAATTTGCTTTTGAGCAATACCCATCTCATAAAATCTCTAGAATTCTCTTTTGGGTCAAGCAAAAAGATGGTGATTTGGTATATTTTAACCCACGCTCCAAATTTTGAATTTGTGCATTTTATTGAGAATTTCAGTGTATAATCTGAGAAACCCAGCAAAAATATTTGCTTTTGAGCAAAACCCTTCTCCAAAAATGTCTAGAATTGTCCATGGATGGCAGCAAAAAGATGGTAATTTGATATATCCAACCCCCTCATTGATAACCCCACCATCATCATCTCCTTCTTCATCTACTGGCAGTATCAGTCCAGTGCTTCTTTTGGTTATAGTAATTGTAGCTGTTATGTTTTTTATCTATGGGTTTGCTCATTTGCTTTTGAGATGCCTCATAAAAAGGTCACCTTCCTCCTCAATCTTTCAATCCAATAGATTACCAGAAACCTCTGGGTCTCGGGCTATCCAAAGGCAGCTTCAGCAGCTTTTTCGCCTTCACGATTCGGGCCTTGATCAAGCCACCATTGATTCTCTACCTGTGTTCTTCTGCAAAGACATTGTTGGTTTGAAGGAGGAGCCATTTGATTGTGCAGTTTGTCTGTGTGAATTTTCTGACCAGGACAAGCTGAGGTTGCTTCCTGTGTGCGGTCATGCTTTCCACATTGATTGCATTGACACTTGGCTTCTCTCAAATTCGACGTGCCCCCTTTGTAGAGGAACCATTTTGGGGTCTGGGATTTTGTTGGAGAATCCGGTGTTCGATTTCGGTGATTCTAGGGAGATGTCAGATGGGGTTGTGAGTGATGGGGAGAACATGTGTTCGAGCGGTCGGAAAGGTTTGGTTGTGGAGGAAGGTGTTGGTGAAAAGAGGGTTTTTTCTGTGAGGCTTGGGAAGTTCAAAAGCCTGAATGAAGGGGATGAAAGTGGAGGGAAAGTGGGGGAGAGCAGTAGGTGTAATTTGGATGCCAGGAGATGTTACTCAATGGGTGCATATCAGTATGTGGTTGGCGATTCAAATCTCCAAGTTGCATTATCCCCCGACTGTGATGCCAAGCTTGCCAAAGAGGGAGTTAGAAATGGGAGCTTCTCAGTTAATGAGAATTTGGAAGGGAAGAAAATCAGTAGCAGACATAAGGGTGAGAGTTTCTCGGTTTCGAAGATTTGGCTTTGGTCTGCAAAAAACAGAATCCCGGGTTCTTCAAATGCTCAAACCGGTTTGCCTCCTTTTCGTGTAATTTCTCCGATCAATGCTGAAACATGAAATGTACAATTACGCTTAGTAGTAGTTATGCTTTTTTCGCTATTTCGTTGTATAACGGATGCTTAATTGTATGTTCAGTTTAGCAAGAATTTTGTTCAGTGGCGATCTTGGAGAATTTGTACTAGTTTCTAAGTGTTTGGATTCCAGAACAGAATACAGAAAACAATCCTCATTTGTTTAGCAACTAAGATAAGCGCTTCTTTTCGAAAGCAAGAGCCCTTTCTTCATAAGCAAGAAACATGCACACAAGACCATGATCAAAGTATCAGACACAAGAAAGAGGCAAATGATCAGTTCTTTCTACTACTTTCCCTCATTCTGCAGCAGTCTAATTGTGATGTAAAAAGATCGCGAGAAGCGTATAACCGAGGATGCAGGAAATGCCAAGTGTTTCCTTTTCCCTTTCCCTTTTTCTGGTAGGGAATGGATAAAAATTCTTTGGAAAATGGTATCGAATTCATGATTTTCTGTTGAATGGACAAAAAACCCTCAGGAAAATGGCACAGAAACATTACTGTTCTGTGGTGATTACATACACATGGAAAAGAAAGTGTTTGCAACCGATAAACATTGTTGCAATTTGCAGAGTTGATATGAGCATATCCAAGACTTGTCTTCCGAACGACAAGATGAAGCTCGCTCAATACTTTGCCTAGTTGTCCTTTGGCTACTGACCGTGCCTCAACTTCTTTGAGGTATTTTGTCAAGCATCTCGTCCTATGGTAGCCATATTCAATGATAATACTAAACAAACATTATGCCATTCATGCCAGGAGGATCCTCGCCGGATCCTCTTTGTGAGGATCCTCAAATCACATCCGTTCATCGTATATCGTGCGGTCAAAAATCATTGTAAATTTTTTTATTTAAAATTAAATATAAACAGTACCTAACAAACACTGACCGCACGATGTATAATGAACGAATGTGATTAGAGAATTCCCAGAATCCTCGTAAAAAGGATCGGGCGAGCATCCTCTCTCCCATTCATATGGATTAGCGGGCGATTGCATACTCTTGACTCTTATGTGGATTTGTCAAATCGCTACGAAAGAGCTTTGGGCCTAATGAATGGGCTAGCCTTATAATGTTTGGTTGGAAGTTTTTGGGCTATGTACAAGTGAGGCCCAATTGTTTTTCATTCCCTTGAAACCCACGACTCGCCTTAGTCCCCTTTCCTCTTCCTTTTTCCCTCTTTTTTCTCAGTCGAGAGTCACAGCCTCCCAGTCCTCTCTCTCCTCTCTCTATCTCGCACTTTCTCTCTCTACTGTATCAGTCTCTCTCTCTGTGAAAATGGGGGTGGCAGAGCGACCCACAGTGCGAGTGACAAACATTCCGCAAACCGTCACAGCCCAAGAGCTATTAACGTTCCTCGAGTCGAAACTCGGCCGTGACTCGATCTTCGCCGTCGAAATCAGCAGCGATCACAAGAACTGGAAGTCACGTGGCTTCGGCCGCGTCCAGTTCACGACCCTCAAGGCCAAATTGGAAGCTCAGTCACTCTCCCTGAAAAACGACCTCGTTTTCAAGTCCGAAAGCCTCCGCCTTTCGGAGACCTACGACGACATCATCCAGCGGCCGGTGGACCAGAAGCGCCGGGTAAACGACACCGTTTTGCATGTGGGTTTTATGGTGAAGGAAGATTGCATGAATGTGCTGGAGACGTGGGAGGGCGTGAGGGCTTGGGTCATGCCCGAGAGGAAGCGGGTCGAGTTCTGGGTATGGCGGAACGACGAGTGTTATAAGCTGGAGATTGCGTTTGAGAATGTTATGGATTCTGTTGGGTGCTGCTTGGGTGGCGAGAAAGTGAATGCACTGCTTTTGAAGGTAAATTTCTCTCTCTCTCTCTCTCTCTCTCTCTCTCTTATTTTTCTTTTCTTTTCTGAATTTGAATAATTTTTGAGAAATGTGAGCTTAATTGCTGTTGTTTTTGTCTGTTTGGGTTTTTTTGCTTACAATTAGAGCTGTTTTTGTTTCGAAGATTGTTGCTTTTGTTTTTGGTTTAGAATTAGTAAATTGCTGGTATTTAATACTTTGGGTTATTGGGTAAGATGTTGAGACAGTGCATTTTGATTTTTTTCAGCTAAAGTTTGGTCCGAGGATCTTTCGAAAAGTTTCAGGACCTAACATAGCTGCCAAGTTCAGCGCTGATCGATATCATGTTTGTAAGGAGGATTATGATTACCTCTGGGTACGAACTACTGATTTTTCGGACATGAAGTCCCTCGGTTATGCTACTTCATTCTGCTGGGAGATTGAGGAGGAGTTTTCTGTGCCGGATGTATTCGAGTGTTTCCCGTTCTATAAAGATAATGATGTGGTGGATCTCATTTTAGAGGACGGTGAAAGATACTGTTTGTGGTCGGAGACAGTTCCACTTGTGAACTGCGGATCAAATTCAAAGTTGCCATATGAGGTCCTTTTCCAAATCAATGCACTCGTTCATTCCCAGAAGATTAGTCTTGCAGCGGCGGACTCTGATCTGTTTGAGTTCCTTAGTGGTTTAAGTGTAGACACTGCTAATGCGCTTCTTGAGAAGCTGCACAAGCGCAATACCATTTGTTACGACCCTCTATTATTCATAAGGATTCAATCACATGACTTGGAAGGAAAGTCTAAGAGTCGTCCCTCAGCCCATAAAAGATTAGTGGAACATAACGTAATGAGTGTTCATAGAGCCTTAATTACCCCATCAAAGATTTGTTGCTGTGGGCCTGAGCTTGAAAAATCAAACTATGTTGTGAAGAACTTTGCAGACTATGCTTCCGATTTTATGAGAGTTACATTCGTTGATGAGGATTGGGGTAAGCTTTCTCCAAATGCTCTTTCCACAAGCATCCACAAAGGTATGTTTACAAAACCCCATAGAACTGGAATATATCATCGGATATTGTCTATTCTTCGAGATGGGATTGTGATAGGGGAAAAGAAATTTGAGTTTCTGGCTTTCTCGGCTAGTCAACTTCGATCCAACTCTGTTTGGATGTTTTCTTCTAATGACAAAGTAAAAGCGGAAGATATTAGAGAATGGATGGGCTGCTTCACCAAAATCCGGAGCGTATCTAAGTGTGCAGCTAGGATGGGCCAACTTTTCAGTTCTTCTACACAAACTCTTGTTGTTCCTGCACAAGATGTAGAGGTTATTCCTGACGTTGAGACTTCTTCTGATGGAGTTACTTACTGCTTCTCGGATGGCATAGGAAAGATTTCTCTATCTTTTGCCAGGCAAATTGCTCACAAGTGTGGTTTGGATCATATTCCTTCAGCATTTCAAATTCGATATGGTGGATATAAAGGGGTTATAGCTGTTGACCGTAATTCCTTTCGGAAGCTATCTTTGCGTCGCAGTATGCTCAAATTTGAGTCAAAAAACAGAATGCTCAATGTTACCAAATGGACTGATTCCTCGCCCTGCTATCTGAATCGAGAGATTATTATCCTCATGTCTACTTTAGGGGTAAAGGATGAAACATTTGAGGCATTGCAAGAGGAACAATTGCGTCTTCTGGGGAAAATGCGGACAGAAAGAGCTGCAGCGTTGAGTGTCTTAGAGGGATTCAGTGGGGCTAGTTCCAGAAATATTCTTGTAAAGATGTTACATCATGGTTATGAACCAAATGTGGAACCTTACCTCTCAATGATGCTTCAGTCATATTATGAGAACTACTTGTCTGATATAAAAGGTAGATGCCGCATATACGTCCCGAAAGGCCGGATCCTGGTTGGGTGCTTGGATGAAACTGGAAGTTTAAACTATGGTCAAGTTTATGTTCGAATAACCATGACAAAAGATGAGCTAGAAATGGGGGATCAGAGTTTCTTCCAGAAGGTTGATGAAACAACATGTGTTGTAACCGGGAAGGTGGTTGTCACAAAAAATCCTTGTCTTCACCCAGGAGATGTCCGGGTACTAGAGGCTGTCTATGATGTGGTACTGGAGGAGAAGAATTTGATGGATTGCCTTATCTTTCCCCAAAAAGGAGAAAGGTATACATCACACTATTACTGTACTTATTTCATCTTGAAGATTATGATTTTTGTTTTCACCAATTATGGTATGCTTGTGACAATATTATTGGAGACGTTGCATTGCTTTTGTTTTCCTTTCCCTGTATAATCCACTCTTTCTATTTTCATCCAAGTTATTAAATATAACGTTGACAACAATATTGAGAGGTGGAAAACACGAAAGTATTGACATTGATGATATCATGAGAAGGATGACAGAAGGTATGAGAAAAACATGGAAATTTTGACTGAAACATCAAGAGATGTTTATTAATAAAATATCAGCTATACTTTAGTTAAAATTTCTGCAAACTTATTTGCATAATTGGATTAGGTTTAGGGTGAATATAATATCCGTGGACACATTGTTGTCCAATACTATTAAGTAGTCCTTGAAATCTTACTGAATATAACAGTTTGAAATAATCTGTATGGTACATTAAACTGGTAGCTTACTACCACATAGAGTTCTTCAAATGCGTAATCGTACATGTGTGCCAACAAACTATTATATTGATATGATATGTTAAGTAACAATATTAAGAAAAAGTAAAACTTTAGAGGATTAAGTATTTAGAATTCATTTACTTATAATGTCATGTGTATAACTTATCGTTCAAGTATACTTTGTTTTTAGTTAATATTAATAAGTATAATAAATAGGGAATAATGGACAAAGGACAGGTTAGTTGGAGTGGCCCTCGCAACCTTAAATGGAAAGCGGGCAGGGGTTCGAGCCCCCAGTAGATGACTAGCAGATTAATACCAATATATCATTCAAAGCAGATGACTAAATTATCGTTGAATTATGGGCACATTGATGCACATATTTAGATGTTTCATATAATATGAAAGATTAGTAAGAAATTATTTTCATTCCATTGGTTACATTTTTCTTCCTTGTTTGATTTGTCACTCACGGTGCTATTGCATTCTTTATTACCTTTTTTTGGGGGATGAAGTAGCAGTGTAAGTGGAAGTGAAGTTCCTGAATAAGCCGAGGTAAGATATTAGGGGAACTGAGCTTTAAGATTAGAGAAGAAAAAAAGAAGCTCACGGATTTGTGTTTCATCTGGGTGCTTGTAAGACTTGTTTTAGATCCTAATTAGATCTGGGGAGGGTCCCCAAATTTTTATTTTTTATTTTTTGTTATATGAATAAGTGAAGTGCAGCTAAGATATCATAACCTCTAGCGCAGTGGTTAGTCAGTGGTTGCTAGTTTTTTTTTAAAATAGGACTCAAGTTCGATCCCATATACGTCAAGATGGATCCCCTAATGTTTCTTTTTTGTCTTATAGGTGTTTGTAAGATTGTAATTCACCAATAAATATCACACTAACGGGCAACTGAAAATTAAATGCTTACGGTGGGAGTGGCCTTTTTGGGTGATTTACATATGGAGAGCTTGGGTTCCATACCTAGCTATGCTGTGTTAATGTTTAAGGTTGTGATTTTTTTATTTACGCGTGTTTAATTATTACTTAATACATGTATATAACTATATATACAGTTATGGGCAAAGAATATATTATGCATGTGTTTTAATGAGGCTTCAAATCTGTAAACAAATTTTGTTGATAATCTATATACACAGACGTGAATAGAAGATATAAAAAAAAAGTTATTTAGTGATGCTATATGTAGCCATGTAGGGACTTTTCTGGCGTTGTCCCAGGCCTCCGAACTCTTAGGGCCGGCTCTGCTCCTAGTCATCAGACTTGTGAACTCCATGTCTACTTTCATTCAATCTAACTTAATAAGATTGTGTGATTCATCAGCTCAAGTGAATTGAACTGGATGTTGTTAAAGCATATACTGTAGAGCAAGAAAACTGTCTGTTTAACTGTCTAGTGATTGTGGTTGAAAACTTTTTGCAGGCCTCATCCAAATGAATGTTCCGGTGGTGATCTTGATGGAGACTTGTTTTTCATAAGTTGGGATAAAGATCTGGTCCCTCCTCGTACTGTACCTCCCATGGACTACTCTGCACGGAGACCTCGGACGATGGATCACGATGTAACCTTAGAGGTAACTTCCTAATTTGACTATAACTCTTCCCCAATGGCAGTGAATATGAGCTTCCATATACATCATCAATCTAAATTTCATTTCTGTTGGACCGCGTCTTAATTGGATTGAAATCCATTAGTTAATATATCCATAATTCTTGAATGTGCAGGAAATTCAAAAATTCTTTGTTGATTACATGATAAATGACAATTTGGGTGCCATCTCTACTGCACATCTAGTTCATGCCGACCGTGAACCAGACAAAGCTTTGGATTCAAAATGCCTGCAGTTGGCAGACCTGCATTCCCAGGCTGTTGACTTTGCAAAAACTGGTGCACCGGCTGAAATGCCCCGGATCTTAAAACCAAAAGAGTTTCCAGATTTCATGGAAAGGTGGGAAAAGCCCATGTACTTCTCCAACGGGGCATTAGGGAAGCTGTACCGTGCATGTGTTGGCTCAGTGGTGCAGGAAAAAAGAGGCTTGGTTTGGTCAGAGCCGATTGCTGAAGCAGCTTACGATCAGGATCTTCAAGTAGGAGGTATCGAGTCCGTTCTTGAAGTCGCAAAAGGTCACAGAGACCTGTACATAGAGAAGATGAAAAGCATAATGAACTACTATGGGGCCAGGACCGAAGATGAAATATTGACAGGCAATCTTCGATATCGTGCAGCATATCTGCAACGTGATAACAGGAGATACGGGGATATGAAGGATCGGATATCGCTGACATTCAAGAACCTACAGAAAGAAGCGAAGGGGTGGTTCGAGAGTAGCTGCAGAGACGGTGAGCATGAGAAACTGGCGTCGGCTTGGTACCATGTAACTTATCATCCACTGCATTTCCGAGAAGACATGCACTGCCTGAGCTTTCCATGGGTTGTGGGTGATATTTTACTGAGCATAAAGTCGGCTAAAATCCAAACAAATTGAACTCATATACCTATCCATGTACAAACCATATGCTTCTAGTAGGCTTTCCCTCAGTTGTAGGTGCATCGAGTAGTTAATTGTGTACTCGTATGTGTTTGTAACTTTAATAACATCGAACTCCATTTTCTCTCAGAATTACTCTTGCAGAGTTTCTAGTCGGACTACCTTGCCCTTGCCCTTGCCCTTTCCAAACGGGTGGAATTGCACAAAGGCAAGTGTTATTCAGAGTGAATAGCAAGGGCAACTTACATGCCCGTGCCCTTGCCTTCCACTAACAGATGAAGATGTTCTTAGTCAGGCAGCGGGTAAGGGTTTAGTGCCTAGGCGTTTAGGCGGGGTTTAGGAGGTTTATCTAATTGTAACTAATTTTTTTTTTTTTTAACATATGAATAAATGTCTAGTTATATTTAAAGCACACACAATTACTAGGATATATAAATTGCAAAAGAGAATGACTATAAATTATAAAGCACTAGAACATGTTGAAAACTTCATTTAAGTATCTAACAAGTCTATTTCAAATTAATGAAAAAATAAAATAAAAGTTATCAATTTTCTATTTATCTAAGTGAGCGTTGTGACTTAAGCAAGCTAGACGTACGCCTAGATAGAGCTAAACGTCCTTTCTTATTTTTTTGTTTAGGTGTCATTTCTTATTTCAAACATTTTAAGATTAATCGTGGAAGTGATCAACTGCTTAACGCAGGGCCTAGTCTGTGCTAGCCTTCTAGGCGGGGTAGTTCACCTGTTTCATAAACAGTTTTCTTTGCAAATTGGTTGTTATGGGACAAGTTTCTTGCTTGGGCAACAGGGGCTTCGTAAAACGTCTTCTGGCAGTCATTTTCTTTGTTGCGTAACATTGCAGTTGCCACAAGAGAAAGCCACTAAAGAATAGATAATTAATTAAGTGATTTAAAACGCACACTCAAATTAAGTTTGACTGTTTCAGAAAACTAGTACATTGATATTTTTATATTAAGAGAATAAGAGGTCGGTTAAGCCACATGATGAGTAACCTAATTTATTATCCAATTCGTCATCCACAAGATTCGAACCTAAAACCTGTAACTTTCAAGTGAAAAAAAAAATATCATCAACCAGTGAAACCATGAACTCGTGCTCAGGCTCAAATTAAATTAATAATAGAATGGAAATGCGGTGGTGGGCAACAATATCCTTTAGTGAAAATGAAATACTGTACATAAATTAAAAATTAAAAATACAATTAAAAATCATTATATTACATATTATTTGTAACAAAATATTTCTTTCATAATTTGATTTCGAGTTACGTGCTTCTATTTTGTGTCCGGAGGTAGATTCTATGCCCTTTCACTTCTCATGATCTTCTGTTTGTGTGATCACAGTTAAATCACGTCAATATTTTATATTACTATTTCTTTTTATCTTATTATTTTTATAAAAAAATAATATAAAATATTAACTTAACTTAACCGTCACCACATAAAATATAAGGAAAAAATAAAAGGACAGAGAATCTACATCCTTTGTGTCCTTTCTGAGTGGCAGAAAATGACACTTAAATTACAATGCCAAAAAAAAGTAATATTAAAATATAAACAATATTTATTAATTGATAAGGAATCATCCAAAATCTACAAGATATTATTTCATCCTCATCCTTAACTGGTCTCATGTTATTTGACAATTTTGTCCTTCTTAGTATCTGATAATTTTGTAATTAAATACACCCAATCCTAACCACGTCACCATCCAAAAGACCAGGAAAATAAAAATAAAATAAAAACCTAACATTCTACGCCATCGAAAACAAAAACGATAAAAATAAAAATAAATGAAGTGACGGCGCCATGTCAGCGTTACGTCACCCTTTCCACCTTCCACGCCAGCTCATTGACTAGCCATTCCAGCAAAATCACAGTTTTCACAAAACGCCCCCCCTGGCGCACGATAGCTGTCGCGGCGCAGTTTCTTCACCCGTACACCGACACTTCTTTACCCGATTCCGGCGGCCCCCCGGACTTCGCCGGTTGCGGGATCGAGGCGAACCGGGCCGAGAAATCGCGGAACCCGCCGGGTTCGTCGTCTTCGTCGACCGGTCCCTCGTCGAAGTTCAGGGCGTAACTCAAGGGATCGTATTGGAATTTCCCGTGCCTGCCGCCGCCGCCGGAACCGCCTCCGCTTCTGGTTCGGTTGAACCGGCGGATGAAAGTCTTCCACTTGGGGCCGGCGACGATCTCGGACCACTCTCGAAGCTTGTAGAGGGCCTTGATGCCTCGGGACCACCACCGGTCGTCGTTTTGGGAGGTCCGCACCCGCGACCATGACGACGGAATACAGAAGCAGCAGCGCGAACTTGATCCTCCATGGCCTATTGCCTCTAAGTCAATGTCTTCCATCGAGGAGAGAGAGAGAGAGAGAGAGAGAGAGGTTTAGAAAACCCCGGTGGAGAAATTGCCTCTCCCTCTGCCAAACGGGGTGTTTTATACAAGTGGCGTTGATAGGTGGAAGTTTGTAACGGAAACATGAGGTGACCGGGGATTGCCGGTGGCCATTGTGACTTTCTGTGTGCGGAACGACCTGTCGTTTGGTGTGTTTCCGGTTTTGCCTAATGATTAAGAGCTTTTATTATTATTTTAATATAATTATTGATAATTATCCATTATTTATGTTTTAGGGAGCGGAGGAACCTAACTTATAGGCATAATTATGGAAAAAATAAGAATTAAAAAAATTCCGAAATTAAAGAATAGTGCCGTTGTAGGTGACGCTTCGGGTGGGAACGTGCGGGTCCCAGGGCTTAGGTGGAACCGAGGAGAAACTTAAATACAAAGATGGAACTGTAGAAACCCTCTCCAACCGACTATGATCAATTCCAGCGCTGCCATAGAAGGAACTGGATCCTGTCCGGATCTAAAAAGATCTGAAACCAATGAGCAGTGCATTCAGAATATTGAAATTTGATCCCAATATTATAATTATTATAACTTTTAAATGAATCTTTTGTTTGTGATCGTTTGATCAAATTTTAATGGCCCAGATACACTGCTCAGTAAGCTCAAGTCCCTTGAATCCAGAGAGTACCCAATTCCGCCATAGACTAGTCACTCTACCATATTCATTCCTTTTTTATTTCCCTTTTAGTATTTTAGTTATTTCCCTTTGGCAAATTAGCATAAATTAATATGGTCCTAAATCTTTAAGAAAATGCGAGACTCTTCATGAATTTTTTGACATAACAGTTCAACGTCTATTCTCATGCCAAACACTTAAACACCATGTAAAATACATAAAGCGTCAGAACATTCACAAAAAATTGCACTTTTGAGAATCTTCTAAGCATTTCTCTAAATCTTTTAAATACGGCAACATATTTATCTAATCAGAAAAATACAAAATTAATGCTGTGTAAGGTGGAGGAATATGAGAGTAGAAAAAAAGTAAACAGATTGGCACCAACCATATTGATTGAGAGAATCTGAGATAATGCTTCTCCATGAAGGAGGACAAATTGGCCACTCGGGCCTACTGAAAACGACATCAGTCAAGCTTCTTAGTTTAAAACGATCAAAAGGGAGCAAAAATCTGATGCCACATACGACAATTCAAACTAAGAAAAATCTTATTCGAACACGGGGGGTGAAGGGCTGAAGGCTAAAAGTCAAGTCTGATGTCTAATAACCTCTAATCCATCAAAATTTCTCAGCCTGTGACATACCAAACAGGCCCTAAGAGATTCGGTGCGAAAACAAACGAAGAAATTTCATGAAGACGGAAAGAAGGTAGAGAAGTTGCGAAACTGAATCGATCCAGTCATTTCGTGCTGGGAGTTGATGCAGCAGCAACACAGATTATATCGAGAAATGATGCACCGGCATGACACTGAGTAGTGAAGTGAAAAGCAGAAGAAATGAAAAGTGCTTCAAGAATAAGTGATGCTAGGCCTAGGGCATGATAATCACTTTTCCATAGACCGTTGATCAAGAACAGCTCTAACAAAGTTGTATCACAATCTAGCATATATGTTCTCCCATAATCACGTAAAGTAAGAACAGAACCAGTGCACTTCCATAACAAGCATTTCCGGCGTTCGAGCAAATCCAAAATGTTCTCAAACTATCAAGTATTGAAAAACGTAGTTCGTTAAGTAAAAGCAAAAATCGAGACACTTTAGTAGTATGATGCAACATATACCGAAGAAGAATATAAAAACACAGTCGATGGCTCATATCCTGCATCTTTTCTGAATCTATATCCGAGGGAATGTAGAAAAGATAGACATTCAAATCAGCTCCTAGTAAACAAGTTTCCAACAAAAATACAGTTGAAGGCAAGTGGCTCTTTACCACAGTAGTGGAAAGGAGTTGAGCCCTTGCATGACGGTGTGGGTTCGAACTCCGTCGATAGCTAATCTAACATCTAATCTAACAAAATCTATCGTTTGACAAAAAAAACACACAGTTGAAGTACAGCTGAAATACGAAATGCCCTTTCTTTCATCAAACAAACATACTAGATTAGCAATGTTTTTCGCACGTACGAAATTACAAGTAGCATAATATTGTTTAGGGACAAAGGCACAAAGTATTCCAAATGACCGATATTGTCAAACCATATTAACAAACAGAAAGATCACAGCAAACCAGTCTCTCTGGTACTAAATTAAATCCCACAAGTAGCAGCTAGTACTCTAGCATAATATCTACTGAGAGCTGAAAGGGAGCGAGCTGCGCTTACATTGCAAGAGCTCCTCCAACTTGGCCACCATGAACACGCCAAAAATAACTTCCAGCATCATCAGCCTTCTCAGTATCAAGAGCAATTGCACCAAAGACCGCTCTGAAAGCCCCACAAACCACCAAGGGAGTTGAAGAATCGGTCTTAGGAGAGACTCTAACCACCTTATGCAACCCCAATTGCTTCCCGTCAGTAGCACAGGAAGATTCTACTTTTGAGACCTCAGAAATGCGGCGGTTCAACTCTTTTGCAGATATCTCAAGGTTGTTTTCAAGTAATCTCATAGAGACCGATGTTTCTATGACATTGGCACCCAAAATGCTCAGTGCCTTGTTGTTCTCTTCAGAGAAGGAGGCATGGGTCATGGCACGGCGCAGGAGACTAATTTTTTTGAACTTATACCTGAAAATTATACAAAGAAACACAATAACAGTACATTTCTCCAATGTCAGAGAGACACAATCAACATGCATACATACACGCACAAACAAACAATGCACATACACCGATACACTTAAATGCAATCAATTTTGATATTTAAAGCTATTTGTTTGGTTTCACAGTAGTGCCCATATGGGACTGCTTCTCTAGAAAGCACTTGTACTCATAAGCGCTTTTAACAATGTTTTTAATAAGAAACATGCTAAAGTGATTCACGGAAAAGCAGTTGAAAGTGCTTCCTAAAGAAGCACGTCCTCATAAACTGCTTCTATGACATAGAAGCATGCATTTTTACGTTTTTCTACCAAGTATAATCGATGACGCTTTTGGCTGTCGGGAAGTATATTTAGCCCTTCCGGTGAAGGGTCCCAATCTGATGATAACATGGTTAAGAATTCCTTTCCTCTTCCCAAATTTTCTCGGAAACCAAACAGATTCAATGATCCAGAATTACAAGACCACAACGAAAGAGAAAAAAAAGATGGAAACTTTACCCAATTTGCACCTGAAGGGTTTCGAGGGCTGTTTCGAACGGCGATGATCGTACGGAGATCTGATCATCGTTCGCCAAAACCTGCACAAAACCAACAGCGGAAACTATAAACTGAAAGAGATGAAACAAAACATAAAAAGAAACGAACTTTCGATAAATCTGTATTTAATATTCTTCCGCATTTTCTCAGGAACCAAACAGCGGTTTAGGGTTTAGAAACAGACCTGAATATGAGGAAGGATTGCGAGGACGAAAACGGCGACGAGGGCGAAACCATGACGAGGCATTTTTCACTTTCTATTGTTTTTGCTTGGTGTGTGATCGGAAGAGTGAAAACCCAGCAACTGCGGTGATTTTGCTTCCCCCTTCCCTTTTCTTTTAGGATTGAAGAGAGACTTTGACCATAGGTCAAAAGGCAATAGTGTTCTTTCACAAACAGTTTCGGAAAATTGGGTTTAGTAGAAAATTCACCTGGTCGAAAATATTACTCGGTACATCAGATGTCAGATTATAAGTGGTTGAAAATTTATTTTTTAAGTATCTAAAATGTTTGTATTGTGACATTTGTACCGACTTTTGTTCTTGACGCATTAAAAAATTTGTCCTTTTACAAACCCACCAAGCAAAACTAGCTACACTCTCAAAATGTAATTTTTACTAGTCCTCCATAACGAATTGAAGTCCGTTGTTTTGTTTAAGATTTCGATTAAGATCAAAAATGAAAATTAGCATTTTGTCGAGCGGTAATTAAATGGAGGGCAAATACTAGACTTCGCTCTTCAGACTTGCCAGATTCACATAGTTGTGTAGTCACACATAAAGAACACTGCAATTGTAATTTGGTACTTTAAATAATAATTTACCGCACTCCCATCTCCATTGAGAATGTAAGCAGTAATTGCCATAGACAACTTTCAGTAAAAACTATGATTTCATAAGAAGAAAAATAATCGAGTATCAAGAGCCAGTTCAAATTTACAAACAAATGATGCCCTTTGTATCTATCTGTGAAAACTACTAATGACGAAAGGAAAAACAAGTTTTAACCTGTGAACTAAGAAGGTAAAGGCCATCTGACATTCCAAATCCATAGTAACCCTTCTGTGATCATCGTTCTCTTCGAAAGAAACACCCAGAGCAGCATCATGTCCGGCTTTCCACCATGCAAAGAATAAGTTAGTGTATTGAAACATAAAGAGTTAATCCGCGATTCCTTTGTGTATGCTTGTATCATCAGAAGAAAAGCATCCATCGATGTTCTTCGCTACCCTAGGCACGTTGACAAACAGTGGCACCTCATTCATCTCAGATAATATTCTCGAACGGGACTTGAATTTCCCAATTGGACCTTGCCCTGAGACTTGAATCGGTTGCCAGGCCTTTGAGCAAAGTGATGACATCCGCTGTATCATCGAGGTAGTACCTGGCTTTACTAGGTTTTTGTCCGACAGTGCATGCAAAGATCTCGGGAGCTGCAGCTTGAGATGAACTGTATGTTGTGCTCGATATGCTTTCAAACATGTCCTCGTCTGATCTATCATCCCCGATGCACAGCACAAAATCTGGCGCATTCCCATTACCAATCATCATGGAAAGAACTTTCTGTGCAACTATTCCTTTAGTAACTCCCTGCGGTTTAAGAAGCAACGTGACATCCTTTAGGCTACTATACGAACAAAGAAACACAAAAGCGTGGAAAGAACATAAATACCTGTGGCTTTACTTCGACGATATGCTGACCCT